CAGCCAGCTGACGTATATATTTATCAATTGTTACATATAAGCTATCATCTGGTAAATTTTTAACCGAGAGGATATCACTGAAAGTGAAGATTTTTTTTCCCATGATCTAGCCATCAGCTGACGTACAATGCACTATGTTATAACCAGCTGACGTTTTTTTTTTGTTGAGGTATTGGGTTAGCTATAACTTGATGAACTTTTAGCCGAGAGGAAATGAGTGAATTTATTTTTTTTTTCTTCAAGCGTGGGGGGTTACAATTACTCATCCCCCCCCCCCTGTGCCGCAGCTGACGGTCATAGGGCTTTATGATACTGTTGTCTGATGCGTATCGCCAATTATCTATCGAGAAGAAATAATTAACCAAATTTGCACCTGGCTCTTGGACTATGAGGTATATATAAATTTGAGTACTTAGTAAAATGCATTTCACTCACCAGTAAGAAACCAATTTTTTGTGTCTTTTATGTGTTGACTCAGCCTATTAGCGTTACAAAAACTAATCTGCTAATTACGGTACGGAAAGTTCTAGCAATTTGCCTTAAGGCACAATGCCATGCACCACTAGTTTTTCGATAAATTCTAGTGTAGACAAAAAGTAATTTACTTATTATAAGTAGGGACTACTGTGATCGACGAGGAAATATAAAAAATATCAAACGCTAAACAATATTTTTTATAAGTTAAACCCAGTGCATACGACGTCAGATTTCTTGACTAGTGCATGCCATACAGTTTGTTACCTAGCAAGGACATGATATACTATAATTTACGATCTTGCCAGCCACATTTCCCATTTATGCCAGCTATTCAAACTGGCAGTATCCTTAACAAATTTCTTTCTATAACCATTTGCCTAGCAATGTCGGAAGCAGTTTTGAGAACAACTTCTGTTCTCGTTTTTTTTGTAAGTTTTCAAAAATTTCAAAATTTTCAAACAATTGTTTTAATTAAAAATGTTTAAATTCGATTTTTTCTATAAACCAAATATTTTCAAAAAATCCAAAATTTGCGAAAAATACTAAATTTTTAAAATTTTAATTTTTCGAAAAATTTCAAAGTTTAAATATATTAGATTTACATAAAACTTTTACTAGAACAAACTTTCCATAATCTTTTTATAATTTTATAACAATATGAATAATCCGATAAAGACAACATATTGATTTCAGTATCTTCTAATGCTTTCACATATAGTTATCAAATCTGTTAGTTTTTAATAATTATTAAAGATACTTTTATTCCATACTTTAATTTTGAGTTTTGATGTATTACTTAATTCATTAATTCATTATCAGGTGTATAATGAGAAGTTTACCATCTTATTTTTGTTTGCCGCTTTGCTGCTATCAATCTTTTAGTTTCAAGACTAATAGTGAGAATGTTATTTTTAACTACTATTTTAATGTTTGTTGTTAAGGATTTGACCGCATTTTTATGATTTGTTTAAAATTATCAAGTTCAATATCAATGACACTTGGAGTTTGTAATTTGACTTTTAAGTTAACTTTTTTTTCAAAAATACTTCGATAAAATTCCCAGTTAGTATTGGTATTATGCAACGTCGGAGCTTGATTTGTCAATTAAATAAAAATAATTATGAATCTCAATATATGTTTTATTGATTCCAGAAACTATGAAGGAATCCAAAAGGTCACTAATCGTGATCCCCAATTTGTATGCTTGCTATTGAGGTATCTTCCAACTACAAATCTATTACCCACAGTTTCGAAAAAAATTTGAAAATGATGATTTGAAAATGTCATGTGGTAATTGTTTTATTTTAACCGTAGTTGATTGTAACTACTCTTTTTTATTTGTTTTATTGGCCTCTGATAAACATTTAGCCACATTACAATATATATGTCACATACTATTATAATATTATTCACTTAAATTTACTTTACTTTCATTAATAAACCTAATTATGTGAGGATAACAATTTAAATTCTGCAATAATGATAACAAGTTGAAGGGTTTGATTAGCGTTTTTATGGGGTGCAGTTCCTCTAGCAATTTTGTTATGTTTTCTTCAAATAGACTGCATTCTAGTATTATGTGTTCAGTTGATCCAATTGGTGCTCCACAATGACAAGATTCTGATGCTTTTACTCCTAGCCTTTTCAGATGTGCGGGAAAGTTGCCATGGTTAAGTCTCAATCTCATTAATTATACGATTGTACCTCTGTTTTCATTTACAAATTTCCGAAACCACGGTTTCTTCTACAGTAATATTGTCCCCTTGTCGACGACGAACTATTCCATTCTTCTTGCTATTTATCAATTTCATTCACTGTCATTCACCACATTCACTGTGGCAGGGTGGACCATTGTCCCATGTTCCGAGCCCATTTTGCTATTGTGTACACTTTTTTGTTGCCTCTAATACCAGAGTGGGATCTTATCCATGATAATTTAACCATATAAGCGTTCTCTAATTGATGTATAAGGTTATTCTAGATTTCATATAGTAATGTTTTGCTTAATCTATTTGTGAAAAATAGATTTTTCAGTTTGTCTAAGCAGCTTTGGCTGTCAGTGACAATAATCGCTTTAGTGAATTTGATACTTTCGACGAATTGAATGCTTTTTTATGGCTATTAACTTTGCTGGCCAAACTGAAACAATGTCTGGGAGTTAATATCCTATTCTGATATTTCTTTATTAAAAATATTGCACAGCCAGTTTTATTTTTTAAGTTTTGACCCATCTGTAAACGGCTACAGTTTGTAGGTGTGGAGATCATCGCATCTATGCATAATTTCAAACATTTATATTGGATTTTGTCTAGCTTCCTGCAATGTGAGGAATTATTGAAAACTAGACTTCTATAATCTAATGGTGGTCTAATTAATGTTTTGTATAAGTTTAGAGCTGTTATAGGTAGTGTTAGAAGTATCGAGGCAAAAGATCGATATTGAGTACTTTGAAAAGTATCTAATCAAAATATCAATGCCAAAAAATATCGTGGCGAAAGTATCGATAGTACTCAATATCGAATTTTGAGTACTTTTCATAAAAATCAAACATAAGTGCAAGAAAGATCTAAAACTCATTAAATATTACATCACAATATTAGAATGAATTCTATTGCTTGTAATCTGATGTGTTAAATCAGAATCATTTTCAATATTGTAAAATTTTAACAGTAATTTTTCAATACTAATTTCAAATTCTATAATTTTTCAAAAAAAAGACAAGTTATAATAGTTGATTATTTTTGATTAAAACAATATAATAGTCTGATACTATATTCAAAAAGCAATACTTTTTAAGTATTTTTAAGCACAATAATATTTTTAATATTTTTCAGTGCAAACAATTGCCACAAGTACCAAATTAATTTATTATTTTCTAAAAGTTTTTTTGCCCACTATACTAAAGAAAGTATTCTTTAGTTTTGTTGTCATTCATTCAGAAAAAGACAGTTGAAATCCGATTCCTAAAATATGTTCATAATGTGCACAAACTGAAAACGAGACATTTTAAGATTCATGTACCACAAAGAAAATATTGCTCTTCTGTTCTTTTTCAAATTGTTTATTTAATTTTTAATTTACAAGTACTTTACTTCAACTTCAAATTACAATACTTTTAGAAAGAAAAATAATAACGCATTGAAATCGATGAGTATTATTATTTGAAATAATTATATTTCGATTCTTTTTTACGCAAAATACTAACATATTGAAATTGATGAATATTATTATTTGAAATAATTATATTTCGATTCTTTTTTAAGCAAAATACTAATATATTGAAATTGATGAATATTATTATTTGAAATAATTATATTTCGATTCTTTTTTACGCAAAATACTAATATATTGAAATTGATGAATATTATTATTTGAAATAATTATATTTCGATTCTTTTTTACGCAAAATACTAATATATTGAAATTGATGAATATTATTATTTGAAATAATCATACTTCGATTGTTGAATATGTTTTTATAAAACATTTTGGTACTTTAAAAAGGCGTTTCATTTTACAAAAGAGTAATAAATAAACATCTTTATTTATTAGAGTGGTCATATCCATTTTGGGTTTTTGAGCAATAAATTCTGAGACTAATGACCCTTCGGGATCATTTTTTGACACTTCTCTGAACAATTATGACCACCTAGAGAGACTATTGCTTAGCATTCGGCAAAATGGTTGGTTTTCATAGTTGGTCGATGAGTGGAGTTCATAGATTACGCTGTCGATTCTTTTTGAGTACTATCGACGAAAAAGATCGATATTGGCAAATAGATCGAGCTATAAAATCGATACCAAAAGTACTCACTATCGACCGCAAAGTATCGATATTTACTCAGTACTCGATATTTCGTTCTAACACTAGTTGTAGGGTGAGCTCCCCACTATGCTCTATTGACAAATCTATTCCCCATATTCGCAAAATATTTTTTGTTTCAACTTTTTTGATGACCTGATCTATATGTGCTTTAAAAGATAATCTTCTGTCGAAAGTGACACCCAGGAATTTAAAGGTTTCTTGAAAAAACTCCTATTGAGATTTTTTCATCTGATAATTCGAGTCCTTTCTTTGGGAGTCATCTATATCAGATACTTTTTAGAGATTTTCATAATAGTTTCAAACTTTGTTTACATTTCTATGGGTTCCATTCCAATGTATATTCGTTGATAGTTTGCGATGCGGCGCTAACGCGCTTCGATATTTTGTCTATGTAACATCGGCGTAGTACGATTGCTATAAAAAAAGTTAAAGTTTTCAAAAAAACATCAGAATATAAAAAAAATCAAAAACTGATTTTTATGAAATTTTAAGAAAATGTTAAAATTTAAAAAAAATGTAATATTTGATACGGAAAATTCCAGCAATTTGTCTTCAAGCACGATGCCATGCACCACTATTTAAAATTATTGTTCATTCAAAATTTTTGTGTTACCTGTAAAATTATAATTACATATCAATAACAACAATACTAAGAATAAAAAAATATAATTTATTTTAATATAAACACTATTTACAGATTTACAATTGTCGACATATTATATTAGCCAAGCTCAATATAATGCAAGGAGAGATTTCTGTACTAGCATTTCACTCCGCAAAAGATGAACTTGAATCTGGCGCCATTGACATTTTGCCTCCGTTGGCAGGCCTGCGTCTAGTCGAGTGAGTGCATCTATTAATCTGTGGTCGTGTTCAAGTCACGGGTTCAGTAATCCATTATGTTGCTTCGTGCTGCGCATTAGTTTCAATGTTTTTTTGTTTTAGTGTTTATTTCTATTTTATTTAAATTCAGTGCTTTGGTAGACAAATAATCAAATAGCATAAATTGGCGATAAAATTGTTTGCAGATTTCTGGTTAGTATTTTGATGAATTGTTAATTCAATACGTGAAACAAAAACAAAGAATTTGACAGCATTCTATCTCGTATTCGATGTGATTTTATATGTGAAATTTTCGTTAAAAATGCTCGTGCTTTCCATGCTTTTGTTGCAACATGCTGTTGATTTAATATAAAACACAATGTTTGTTATATTTATGATTATTATGTACATACGCACGTACTTTATTTATTGATATCATTTCCAATTTCATAGAAACGCTATGACTAATGCATATTCTATTTTAACACTGTAGTTGACATTAATTTTCTTTCCTTTTGAGGCTATTTTAAATTATTATTTTTATTTCTATATATGAATTAGTATAATATTCTTAACTTTCAGGTGTCGGTGAAGAAATTTTATCCAACATAATGGAGAGCCATGTGAATGTTTTGCCGAACAAAATCATCCTACATTTTATAGCCATGCAAGGTACACTGAGTAATAATTTTTAGCAAGTAAGTGCTTGCAAGTTTTTTTTATTGCGATGGATATAATCGTGATTAGTATTATCAAAAATGCTTAGTAATAGCAAAATTGTTTTACGAATCATGAATGAAATTCTAGACATTTGATCTGCTTTTATTGTCCGAACCTACAAGAAAAAAGTATGTCTATATATTTATTAACAGTTATCAGCAAATGTTGTCTGTATAATTATGAGTTTAGCTGTTAGTTTACGATTCACAAATTTTATGATTGCTAGCAAATATGGTTGTTGATGACACGCTGTCGATAATTTCAATTATTAAATTTGTTATTAACTTTCTATGGAACAGATTAAACTTATGTAGCATTGTTTATGGTCCTTGGTCTAATTCTCTTATTTGTTTCTCATTTTACTATCCTCAATTTTTAATTTTGTAATTATTTTATATTTTCTTATGTTCAAAAGTAGACCTCACATGATTAACTTCATGATTTTTTTCTTGACATAGTCTCTACTATACTTAGGCGGTACTCTAACTTTCTGGTCACCTCCTAAAATTAATATTATCAAAAACTTGACTTACTATGTAAAATTCTCATAATGTCTCAAATTTCTGATATGTTTACATATTCCCACTTTAAGATATATTTTTGCACTGTAATAATTCTTTCGGAAGACATTTGCTGGCTGCTATAGAGTTTATCGGAAGTTGTGATAGAATATTGTACTTATTCAGTAAATTTTGGCATATGTATATGTATGTATGTGTGTGTATATATATATATATATATATATATTAGATCGTATATATATATATATTAGATGCAGTTTTTAAAAATCGAGTTTTACATTGTTTTCAATTGTTATGATTGGATGAGACGTCCTGAATTGATTAAGGAATTTAAATTGATGTGCGTTAACAGATACTCATTGCAATAAGTTTATAGTAATGGTTTCTTTAAATGTTTCAAAACAAAACATTATCAAATTTGAACTTGATACTTAATACTTGTTGTTTGCCACCACCATGGAACTTATGAACCATTATTAGCTGAGCTTGGGATCTTATATAGTAGATTTTCTATATTAACTATGATGGAAAATTGTTTTCCTCTACAAATAAAACAATGAAATTACCCTAGTGACAATAGCATCAATTTCAAATTCAATACAAATTGCTATTTGCTATTTAAATGATCAATGAAAGCATTTATATACAATTAATTATACATCTATAGCTAGGGCATATCATTAATAAAATCATGAATTTACTTGCAAAATTAATTTTAGAATCCATGAGTTTTTATCCTTAAGCCTAATTCAGTGGAACAAATTTACACTCAAAAACTAAAGTATGTGAAATAATGCAATTATGTAGCTTGTATAGTAGTTTAACTATGCATTAATTTTTCATGTAATAGTTGAAAATGATTTTACACGTGAAAATCAATAATACTTAATCTTGCATGTACTTTAATTATTCTGAAGGAAAAAATATTGAGAGCATTTCATTTTTAGCAGATACAATACTAAATTGCATTATTACTAAATACATTTCAGTTTTGGTATGAGATTTTGGAGAAACTCTTCATCCTTGCATATAGAAATACAATAAATTCCCAAAAATACTGTTTGTTTAGTTGCAAGCACTATTATTTTTATGCATTAATGCAAAACATACGCTCCGGTGACCAAACAAATAAATCACATTCATAGAGCACCCACACATCTATGTTTGCTTTTGCGTAAAATACAAATGCGCATTGCTTAACCTTATATTTCCATTATATTCCTATTATAGCCTTGGATTCGAGTTCCAATCCATACTGCATATTTGCCTTTGCTTGGTCAATAGGATCTCTGTTATTAAAAAAGGGCATTGATTATAAATTCAATATTTCTATAGCCTTGGGTTCGAGTAATTACGAAAAAACGGCGTGGTCGAACTTCATCAGTATGAGTAACAGTTTAAGAATATATTTGCGAAATACGTACATCTGATCATCTTTTGGTAAATCATTGTCGTGGTCCTCCGCTCTTTCGGCTTGCTGAATATCCTCGTTTTTATTGGTTATATTATCTGACTCGATTTCTTGCTTCACAACAAAACCTATATTGATTGAAAAAAAAACATTTATAATACGTTCCTTGTTAATTCTAATCATTTGCTAGATAGAAACTCACCTTGAATCCTTGCCATTTATTCGTTCCATTTTCTGCGGCAGTGGTCAAACACAAACGTATTGATTTAGATTTAAAATTCAACGGTGTATTTTGATCCATACTTTCAATATGCTTGCTGAGCAGATTAACTGCTCCAAAATTCTTTCCTATAATTGATGGTGCTCCATCTGTCGTTATACCAACAAGTTTTTTTAGATCCTTGAGACTTACAAGATCAAGAAGTTCTTCATTTATGTTGAGCTAGTTATAAACTCCTCGAATAAAAATTGCAAGTTGTGATGTGTCATTGATATCTGTTGTTTCATCCAATGATAATGAATAATAAACAAATTGTTTTCCTATTATATCAAGTTTGAAGGAAATTTCCATTGAAATATCATCAGTGTAACTGTTTGGTGAGATAAACTTATTTGCTTGTATATATGAACCTTTTCCGGATCAATTTCTTCGCTGCAGCAATTAAACACTCTTTGATGTATTCTCCATCTGAAAATGGTTTTAATTTTTTTGCTATTATTTCGAGAATTTTGAAACTTGCACTGACAATATCATTTGATTTTTGGCTTTGTTTCTGAAATATATTTTGTTGAGACATTAAGTTACCCTTCAGCAGGAATAATTTGGCCTTCCGTTCATCACGAGAAAGTACAGAAAGTTCCGTATGTTTTTCATAATGTCTTCTTAGGTTATAAGTTTTAGCAATAATTGTTTCACGGTAACATAAGCACACAGCATTATTCTTTATTTGTGTGGAAAAGTAGTCATTTTCCCAATTACTATTAAATGGCCTATTTTCATCTTTTAATTTTCTTTTCTTGTTATCCGACAGTCCTATGACTTGTCAGTACTATGGAGAATTTTATTTATTCTGGAATAATTAAAGAAAAGAATTAATTTTGTCTAGAATTACAGATTATATATAAAACAATTTGACACGTTAATAACATAAATGCACATAAAACATAAGAAATCAGCTTACCTCAGGTTTTCTATGTATCAATTTCCTTCTTTGGTATTTAATGTTATTTCCTCCACGTCTCAAAAGCAAAAGAACACCAAAAACAAAATCATTTACAAACATATTTGAAACATGGCGACTACTAGGAAATTGGCTATGTTTATTTATCTGGTTGGCTACATAACAAATATGAACTTAGAAATAAAGTTGTCATCTCGTTCGTAGAACCGCTAATTTGTCCTTGTACTTTGCCTTGACAGTTACTTGTGGTTAGCTGTCAAGCGCTAGTCGTTGAATATCCTATGGTCATCTATTAACTCGATTGATGACCATTACATATTTTTGAAACGCCATTCACGCACTCCAAATACATATTTTGTATTATCAATAATAAAATTTTAAATATTTGTTTTGGTCGATTTTTCGTTTTTGGCCGCAGGTTGGCTATGTCTGATTTAGAGGGACGTCGCAAATTTTGTCTATGGGTCATTCTTTTACAAACCGGACCCTAATTAACCTTGAAATTTTAGAATTATCTGAAAATTTGTTTACAGATACTATTGATAAAATCATTTGACACGTATTTCAGGATTTTGCTGAAAAAATTTTTTTACGTAAATATTTACGATTGAAATATGGATTTTTTGCTCAATTTCTATGAACATCATCTGCGGTAAATTAATTATCTCCGGATGTGCTGATCCGATCAGTATTATTGTTTTTTATTACACTCATATTGAAGTGAACTTTGTAATGACTAAAAAAATTTTTTTTGTTTTTGCAATTTTCTTAACAATAGCAACCCTTAAACATTTACAAAGGTTTTACTCGACCTTTACCCGAATTGAATCGATCAAAAAAAAACATATTTTTTCTTTTTTTCTCTGCAACAAAATTCTTTTTACAATTTGTTGGAGGTTTTGTTACATCGAAAGATATTAAATATTTTCAAGCGCGAGCCGCGCTTTTCACGTCGTGGACCTCAAAGACTTGTACTCATTTGTCACTTTCGAATGACAATTTTATTGTTTTTCGGTTGAAAAATATTTTATAATTTCGCTTCTGGCGAAAAATGAACATATAGTCGAAAAAAAACATTAGGGGAGAGCGGAGCTTAAAAGTTCGTGGGTAAAAAGATCCACTGCCAATATCTCAAAAACAAGTAAAGTTAGAATTTTTTCAACAACAATATTTGAATGTAGAGGAATATTTAAGTTGGCTTCAACCCTTTCTGATATAATCTCTATTAAAGCTTACATGTGGGTGGGGTAAACAGAGTCAACCACACCTTCATACTGGCCTAGGTGTAAATAATAAGAAAATAGTAAATAAAAAATTAAATTAAGTTCGAAAAAAGCTATTTTACAATATATATATTGATATATATATATATATATATATATATATAATATATAATTATATATAAATTAATAGTAAATTAACTCTGCTGATAAATATTTCTGACAAAGCATCAGATCAAAGGTATATCTGGTATTTTCTTTATAAAAATATACGAATGAAATTTTTATTTAACATTGGCTATATAATTTAGCTATTATTACGTAAAATTCTATTAAAATTAAAAATAAGTCGATCCCTTTTTATCCAGGTTATGGAGTAAAGACGGAATGTGACGAATTTAAAAAAAGTGGCTGAAAAACATTTTTTTATTATTAGAAAAATCTAACTAAACAATCCGTCTACATTCAAATATTGTTGTTAAACAATTTCTAACTTTACTTGTTTTTGAGATATTGGCAGTGGATCTTTTTACCCACGAACTTTTAAGCTCCGCTCTCCCCTAATGTTTTTTTTCGACTATATGTTTATTTTTCGCCAGAAGCGAAATTATAAAATATTTTTCAAGCGAAAAACAATAAAATTGTCATTCGAAAATGACAAATGAGTACAAGTCTTTGAGGTCCACGACGTAAAAAGCGCCG